AAATTGCGCAGAAATTGTTTTATCTGATGTACAGCTTTCTCACCATTGTATAAAAGATTTTGCATGGGATAAAGCCTTTACAAATTAGTTACCATATATGCACAAAACATCAGAAAAAGCACTTTTAGTAGATTAGATAGCTGACTCATGACTTTAAACATGAGAAAAAATATATAAATGCGATCTATTTGAATGAATGATTTTATGATACAACTATTTCGGTTTCTCCGACAAGGGGTAGCATGAGAAAATGCTTACGCTATGATATCGCCATCACTGTGATGGTAAACGGAAATTATGAACGGATTGTGTTTCCGGATCATATTGTATTTTACATTGTAGCTAGTAAATAATTTCGCATTTCGAAGTTGGCCTGCATCTCATTATGCAAGTTAAAATTCTTCATTTGATATCATCCAAAACCGAAATTAAACTTAAGCAAGATGAAAATGTTTCATTTAACTTGCACATAATCTGATTTCAACCAAAATGTCACGGTAGAATCTTCTTTGGTAGACTTCGTTTTTTTTTAAGAAAAGTGACTTTTTATTCACTTAGACTTCGATCGACATGCATTTGACATTGGAACACCAAATTTTCTGATGAAAGTGAAGCATTTGTATCTTAACAGGCTTACTTGTATCTTGTTGCATTTTATTATGACAGAGTGCATGCATGTAAAAGGCACAGCAGAAGTTTCTTCTGCAAATACAGAAAATGCAACATGTCATTCAGCAAATAACACAGTCTAATCAAAATTAAGTTATGTAAACTTGATGGATTGAAAATAGGCTGATTAATGAATAGAATTAGCCAGGGTTAAACCAGCGCTTTGCAATAAAGGATGTAAACTGTCTTTCGATCATTTGTTGAAATATGACAAGATATCACCACAGTTCTTTCGTTTTATTAATCGTCATTAGGTTAGCTCAAGACACTCTGTAGGTGCTGTTTTTCTGGAAATATTTTTGAAAACCATAATCTCCAATAATATAAATGTTGTCATTATAAGAGTGACATAAGCATGTTGCAATTGAATTGTTTCATATGATACTTTCGGGAATTTAAATATGGGAGGAAATGTAAATAAAAAAGTAATGGAGACTTGAATTTGGGGTCAAAGGTCATTTGAGTCAGGAATCGCAAATCTTCGTGATAAAACAATATGCTTGTCACTTGAAGCATCAAATACGAACATTTTAATAATGGCGTAAGTCTCGTACTTATTGAAGTCTTCTGAAGGGGATTAAATCTTCAGGTTTATATTGAAACCAAAATATGGAAGGATACTTGTCGACACTTGCCACCCTTTTCCTCTCTCCTTCAGATTTTAGTAAATCAACAATTAGTACCTGAAATAGCTAATTTTACAAACTGTTTTCTGGACGCCATATGCTCTGAGTTATTTGAAGAAATAAGTAGATCTATTCATTCTTTCAAAACTGAATCAGACCCAGGCCTTTCCACTCTGCTAGAAGAAAAACTACTGTATATGATCAATGGTGAGTGATAGGAGTCCTAGGCTACAGGATTGTTAATAAGGATAATTTGCATATCCTGAATGATATCTAATATCCGATAAAACTAAGTGATAAGTGCTAGTAACCGTTTGCTTTTTTTTTTTTCAATCATGACTACCAGGAAAGTCACAAAAGAAATGTCATTACAAACACTCAATCCTTAAAAGTCGATAAATTCGGGGGCAGGGAAGAGATGAGGATAACACACGTTCTTTCCCATTTCGAAATCATAGCCATTATTTTGAAAATTTGAGCTTTGCAGAATGGAAATGTTTTGTGTGTTGGAGAGTTTCAGCACATTTTAATAATACAAATTAATAGTTAAAGAACGAAGCAGATAGTCCTAGACTGCCTATAAGCTATTTCGAAAAAAAAATCATTGGATCAGACCGATTTTTGGACTGCTATGACATTCAGTGCACACCTCACAGACCGATTTTTGGACTGCTATGACATTCAGTGCACACCTCAGTTTATCAGATTTCAGTAATTTTAAATGAATCGCACCTTCTTATGCTTCCTCATTATCAGTGAAAGTAAGATTGCAAATCAAATAGCTATTGTATTTCCGTCACTCGAAATATCAGCTCTCCTCTTTCTCATCAATTTTCTATTCTCTACAAATTTTCACATGTTGTGTTTTTCTTTCAATCAAATGAAAAGAATAAAGAAGTTTCTTTTTTTCGTAAGAGATTATTAACTGGTTATTAACTTTGTTAGCTTTTTGAAGATCCTTCAATAAGATTATTACACCTTATTTTAGCTCATTTTAGCATAGCATATTCATATCAAAGATATGTGTTAACTTTTGCTTCACTAATTTCCACTTTCTTCCACTTATCCTTTCCAGTCTATTTCACTTCAGACATAGTTCTTCTCTAGTACAACCAAATGTCCATGCAAGGCTTATTTCGAGTGCAAATTAAAAGTTTGTATTATCTTAAAAAGTCATCAAATTAATTGCATTTTTAAGCATCCTTTGAACTGCACGTGTTTTGATCATGTATTTTGAAGCATATTTAAAAATACAATTAATTTACGAAAGATAGCAAGTTTCATGAAAAATATTTGTCCTGAAATTTTGTCCCTGAAATCTCTACTTGTTGTTATCATTTTTCCAGTAATTTCCTATCAGGCTCAAGTTTCATCCAATATATCGTGTGGCTCTATAAAGATCCCTCTCTTCCCCAATCAGCAGCCCATTGATATATATTGCTAATTGGTTAAATATTTTGAAGCACTGTTGAGCTCGTGCATTCTTTCTTTACGAAAGTTTCTATTCCTTCGTATCACTTCAGACCATAATTCATCTTAGAACGCTCCTATTCAATCTGCTAACTATTGTAAACTTCGACAATAATGCCTTCCATTCAGGCTTGATTACCAGAAGAGCCATTTGTCGTCCCTAGGTCTCATTGAGAGAGCAAAGATGCATTATATTTGGCTACCTTAGCTAATGTTGCCTTGATAGGTCTGTTGGTTTATTCTATTCAATATCATCGTTGTGCTGTTTTTGCTTTTATTGAGTGTGATATCAGCAAACTTTTTTGAGTTTTTTGAAACAGACTGATGAAGAAATATTTCATGGAGAAGTGAAGAAATTAAAAATGAGAATTGGAAAGAAGTAAGGAATGCAATAACTGCAATGATTGGCAAGACGAGTGAAAGTTTAAAAGGTGTATAAAAGAATGTAGGAACCTCCTACCATTTCTAATGTGAGAAGTAGTCGAAAATTTGAATAAGTTTCTGAATTAGATCATGTTGTTCCGAAACACTATCCAAGAGATTAATTATCTAGTAATCTGGTTGCTTTGTTCTTCCTTTTACAACATTTCGCTTAATCACTGCTGAAATCCATGCATCTTTACATAGGTTACTACAGTTTTATCGACAGATACTATAGTTGGGCTTCAATAAGAAGGTACTAATTATTGCAACTGAATATTACTTGGATTTTTTAGTAGGTTATCAGTTCCAGATAAGTTGCAGAAATTCACTCATTGACAATTGCAAATTAAACAGATGTTCCTTACAAATAGGAAATGGAAAAACGTTCAATGTAAATAGCCGGAGGTAACCGCAAAATTATAATTCCAAGTTGCTAAACTGTCGTCGCTGATATGCTCATACTTATTGCTTATCAAATATACACGTCATTTATTCCAAAAAAAGTCCTCAGAAGAAGGTTTAGAAGTTTAGTAGAGCGTATCTGTCGCAGTTGCAAAGAAAGCCAAATGAAAGTGATGCATTCAAAGCAAAAAATAGAAGCAGTGAACTGAGTAATCTTTTAGATTTTATTGTGGAAATGCTGTAGCAATGAAGTATTTGCTTTTAGCACATCCTCATTCTCTAGCAGAAGCATTTAACTTTTGCAAATTCTAAAATCGATCCTTTTAATTGTTCTGTGGCAATTTCAGCTGCAGCGTTGCATGTGGCGGTATACTAATAATTCAAAATGTGTCGTTTTCTGGAAGCGACTTACATTTCGACCGAGTGTAAGAACGATGTAGCTTCTGAAATATTTCTCTTGCCTTATCTTAGCTTTGGCATGATGTACATCCATTTCATTCCGACCAGATCTCTTTGTACGTAAGCCAAGGATTCCCTCTTAGTTTTCTGATTTGTTCGCTCAATTAGGCCTTTAAGAGCGCTGCATAACCCATCCTTTTCAACTCTGCTCGCCTATTTCCGATTCAATTCATCCAATTCCATTCTAGATAAGGCCACCGCAAAGCTGGCAAATAGTTGATATGGAAAATCGTCCTTGCTGTTGCCCGTTTCAGCGGCTTGCTACTTGAGAAATTCATTTAAAGACACAATCACTTTTTCTGATTTCTGGTATTTCGATACTCATTCTATTACCACCATTCCTTTATCTAGGTCTATTCATATTTTATGCAAATTATCGCTCCATCTATCACCAATTACTGTTACCCTCACCTCACCCGCTTACTTTACTCTCACCCTGTTTGTAGCTTATCCATAATATATTTCTTTCGCGCCCTACTTCATTATGAGAGCACTCTCTTCTCATTTTCTTTTCTTGTGAATCCAACAATATTATTCCGCTCAGTCATCGTTGCCAATTATTGTTTACTAAAGCTTCCCGATAAAGGGATGGGCCTAGCCTATGATGTCAAAGGATGGCACCCTTGGCCACTAATTCATCTGAATCGCTCACATACACAAACATATATATATATATATATATATATATATACACACACACACACACAGATACATTGAATCTCCTTCAAAATTTATGAGGGATATCTCTAATTCCTTCATTTCCCTCCAGTATTCCTCAACCACGTCCGGATAAACTATCTCAGGCTCACGTTTGCATCTTTTCTCTCATAATCTGTGATGATAAGTGAGATAGAACAGCGGCTTGATGATGCTGGGAGAAAAATTCGTGGCGGAACCAGTAAGATAATGGATTTAGAATGGACCTTGAGATATAAAATATTCGGTAGTGGAATAATGCCTTCCGAGATGCGACATCTAGAAGCTTATATTCAGCTGGAATATGCAAAAACATTTGGTTCATTTTATCTCTCTTCATATACTTTGCAACGTAAGGTCCTCGAAAGTGTCATTATCACAATTGCAAGATTAGTTTACTTCACCGCCTCAAGGGAAGAAGAATTAGAGAAATCAAAAGAGATGCCAAGTCTTGCAGAGAAAAAAAGACGAGTGATGTAAGACTAAAGGATTTAAATCATTAGCTAACTGTCTTCCCGTCAAATGAATCGTCGGTCTATCTAGACCCACCAGCCAAAATTAATTAAATCCTGTTCTAAGCCATCATGTCAAGCAATCCCGTAGATGAATGCAAGAAAAGAAGCGCTTAGAGAAGGGAGTGATAACTTTTATCTTTAGTCTGAAGTCTGATATTGGCTTAATCTGTAGAACGAAGTTTCAGATAATAAAATCAACGTCCCATCCTTTCCTTAGTTTGCTATTTTAACATACTTACGAAATGTGCTTGCCAGCTTGCATACTGTGTAGTTTAGTGTTTTGTGAACTAACTATGTAAGACAACCGATCTAAACACAGGAGTGTTCGATTCTTCAAAACTGTCCTTTACTATGAACTATTTTCAGCTTGCGTAGCTGACCTGACGGGTGTCATGTTAACCCGACGCAAATCGTCAGCATTTATTCAGCAGCAGCAGCAGCAGCAACAACAACAACAAGAACAACAACAACAACAACAACAACAACAACAACAACAACAACAACAACAACAACAACTTCAGCAGCAGCTGGCCTCAGGGACTGAGCGAGGTGTCGCGAATGATTCAGTTGCTGTACTGGCGGAAATGCTGAACATAGATACCTCCGCAAACAAGCAGCATACTAGTGGTATGTAGTCCCAAGTATTAGCCACGTTGTCACCTTGCCATAGCACATCACTATGGGAAGTCTTTGGAGTAGGATTTAAATATACAGTTAATCAATTTTCGACATAGATTTCTCACGTTGATTTTTTACCGTTTCTAAAAATTATGACAAACCTAAAACAAGTCTGCAGAAAGCCTATCCAAGATCCTCTTTCCTGACAGTGTAATGGGGCGGTTAGTGTGATTGCTAAAAGTAAAATGGATAAATCCAAGATGAATTCTCAGTCTAAAACTATCAAATTCATCGGAAAGTAGTAAATGTGTCGTTTCTAAATCTACTCAATGTTGGCGTTATTGTCCGAAACTGTGATCGTTCTGAATGTAGAGTGCTACATTGTAAATAAGGATGGAAAATAATTGAACCTGTAGTACTGAGGTATGAATAAATGACATTTTGTAGAAAGAAATTAGAAAAACAGACAGTTCGCTAATCAGATTCTACCATACCTTTGGTATCAAACTTCTTACTGATTCCTCTCTCTTTCATTCACTCTTTTATTGATTTATTAGAAAATTTACTACATCTCAGTCAAAATAACTGTGAGGAAATTCAATAATTTGAATACATTCTCTCCTTTTTATGGCCATCCATTATCATCCATTAGCTGTTAGCTGAGGGATAAGTAGTTAATATAGAGGTAGAGCCATTGTAATTATAAGGAGATGCATCATTTATGAGGATCAAATTATCTCACTGCTTGAAATAAATTTATAATAATGATTGGTGATGGGTGACAGGTATGTGGTACTCAGAACTACCCAGTACTAAATGACCTTCTCATTCATTGCAGACATTCTGCGAAGCAACATTTTTGAAGAAATCCCCAAGCTTGCATGTATAATATCAATGATATCAGTATGTTTGAGCACTCCCCATACGTTCTTTTTTTTCCCATCGCTCTATTATATTGTCTTCCTTGCGGATGCCACTGTTACTGTCGTATTCCTTGTCGAAGCTATCGTCAAAATCGTCACTAATGGACTTATCACGGTTAGCTGATTCCAACTTATCCATCTTTACAATGCTATCTAGTTGTATAAATCGGAAGTTAAAATCTGGGACGACAATTTGTTCGAATTAATTCATTCACCGATTTATTATTCAGTTTTACAGTGCCACAAAAGTGAAAAATCAGAAATGCAAGTGTTTACTGAGTGAGTGCAATATAAGTAAACTTTGTTCTTTAGCATGAAGGAAGCTATCTTCGAGATCGCTGGTGTCAATTTGATTTCTTTTTACTCATCTTGCACATAACGTCAGTATTGCTGAGTGCTTACGAGCTTATCTGTCTCTGGTTCCCACACCTGGAATGGCATTACCATCCATGGTATGGCGTTATAAGGGCTCCAAGACCATTTATCATGATACGCTTTGTACGTTCCATCATACGCTTCAAGTTACCCAAGAACCGCATCCAGCAGATCATCAAGTAAGTGTCTAATAGTCTTCAGTAACTTTTCCACACTTTCAAATATCTGCTCAGGGAAGTCTGATACTTGAGTAATAAATAATGAATTACAAAAAAGTAATTAGTAGTAGCTTGACAGTTATCATATTCCTTTCGTGATTTGATTTTATTGAAATTCCCAACTTCTACTTCAGGCGGTCTTCACAGCAGATCCAGAATGTGACAATTTTCTTCATGTTCTTCATGACATTTTACGCAATCATGGGAGTACAGTTGTTCGGTCGAATGGACTATCACTGTGTTCTACCAGGGACCAATGTTTCTAATGTAACCATCGCCGACTTGGCCATACCAGATACAATGTGTTCGCAAAAAGGAGCTGGTGGTTACGAATGCCCAGCCAATATGGAATGTTTGAAGCTGGATATGAGCGCTCATGCTGAAGGTTTCTATGGGATGTTCAATGATTTCGGTAAGTCCCATGATTAGAAGGTTTATAGCGGAGATGTCCAAGATGTCTCTTTCTCGAAGAAAGTGAATCTGTAATATATGTGAAGAATACATTTCAGGTTCTAGTTTGTTCACCGTGTACATGGCAGCATCACAAGAAGGATGGGTGTATGTTCTATACGACTGTTTAGACACATTTCCTTCCTACATCGCTTTTTTTTACTTCATAACATTGATATTTCTACTGGCTTGGCTTGTCAAGGTTTATCTTTATAATTTTTCATCAATTCCCTTTCATGAAATATGATAGAAATTAATCAAAATTGATCGATAGCCACTCAAAAAACTAAAGCAAAGATAATATTATCAAACAGTTCGTTTAGAATGTGTTTATCGCCGTAATAACTGAGACTTTTGCGGAAATACGGGTGCAATTCAGTGAAATGTGGCAAACTCGTGAAATTACTGTTGAGGATAGTTTTGCTCAGGTAAATCAACTTATACAAATAACTGATTAAATAAAGTAAGCATCGCTAGTGATGATGTTAATATTTAGAAAAATTATAAGTGGTGATGTTTTTTTTTTAAAAGAAACTAGAAAAAACGGAAGATGGATGGCGGCTGATGGCAGTGGATGCAGAAAAGATAAATTCTGATATTGCTCCCAAACCACTGTATTGGGTTAGTTGCTACTTGTCATTGACAGTTAACGAAATAATAAGTTATGGTAATAACTGATGGGTTCAATCGATTGCATTAACCGACAATTACTTGTGGCGTTAAATTTTTAATTAGAGGAATTATTCATTAACTATTTCGATAAACGACTACTTGTAGTGATATGAGTTAAGAATACAAAGATAAGTTATAACAATTAGTCGATATTCTCTAATCAACCAAGATTTACAGTTAGTCCGTTCGGCGATGTTTCAAACGTGTATGATGGTGATGGTGGTGTTGAACGCTCTCATCAATGCATCTCTTGTGCATAAGCATGACGCAAGTGATGAACCACGCAAGCTTCTCTACTATTATATCGAGGTTCATATATCCATTGTTTTCACCATGCAACATTTCTAATCCCAATACTTCTTATGAAACACAATAATCAGTGAGAAGGAAGGTAGAAGAGTAAAAGAATGGTCTTAGTCCATTTCTCCTTTATAGCTAGTAAAATAATTGTTAAAATGATGTGCGAACAGCATAGGTAGGCTTTACGATGATATTCAACATGGAATGCCTTCTGAAAATGATCGCTTTGGGATGGAATGGGTATATACGATTGCATAAATTTGAATTTATTTTGTGCATTGGAAGCACATTAAACATTGTGAAATCGCTCTATTCAATGAATCTTTTCACGTATTTTCAAGTTTTTCGTATCGTTCGACTCATTCGTGCCTCTCCAATGCTCGAGGATTTCGTTTATAAGGTTACTGTATTGTTTTGTTACATATTCGTTCAAGAAAAAGAATTACGTAGAACTCTACTAGTACTATAAACTCACTCGTCAAAGTTCTTTCCCATACTAAACTTTCATCACCTATAAAAAATAATTTTGTTGGGTTAAACTGAAGAGGTCAAGGGAAACAAGAGATATTATTACGGGAGGATATGATAAAGTATAATTATGTAATTCAATGGAATGACTCTTCTGGAAATGCTTTTTCTTTAGAGGAAGAACGAAAAACTCTGTACGTAACTGTACTAATAAATCGGAAACCAGATGAACATGGTAATTTTGATAGCTTACTTTTTGATTCAGATAATTCCGATTATAGATATTCGGACCAGGAAAAAAGCTAGGCGGCCTGGTAGTGTTTACAATGGTATTACTTGTCATCACTTCTGCTGTTTCGCTGCAACTCTTCTGTTATGTACCAAATTTGGATAAATTTCGAACATTTCCCCAGGTAGGTCTTTCTGATTTTTCTCACAATACCAATTTAAGTTGCAGTTATGAGATTATATGTGGAGTGCTTTTCAGGCATTCATGTCAATGTTTCAAATAATAACACAGGAAGGCTGGACGGATGTAGTTGTGGAAATTTTACGTACTACAAACGAATCAATGGTCCCATTCGTTGCAATATATTTCGTTGGATATCATTTATTCGTTACTTTGGTATCTGTTCCTTTTCATTTTCATTCCTTGTATAATTGGTTGTTTCATTTTTTTGATATTGATCTGCTTAATGCAGATGCGATATTATGATGTGGACACAGAAATTCTTTCATTTTCTGATTAGAATAATTGGGGAACAGTTCATGTCAGAATATTGTTCGCTTCGTGAGGCGTTGGTGGCATCACTGTCATTTCAGATTGTTTTGTCGTTGTTCGTTGCTGTCATACTCGATAATTTAGAAATGGACGAGGAGTTGAAAAAAGTGAAACAACTCAAGGCAAGAGAAGAGGTATGATGCACAGTAGACACATGAACATATCGAAATATATAGTTTGTTGAATATAGAATGAAATTATTGTTTCCTTATTCATAGAATTTTGAATGATTGAAATGAATGATTGAAGGAGCAGTCGAAGAAAAAGAATTAAAATGTATAGCGAAACTATTTCCAGACTACATGTATGCGTACAACACTTCCATGGCGATTGAAAATTTTTGATAAATTTCCAACCCGACCACAAATGGTCGAATTACGAAAAGTGTCCAGTGAATTCCCGGTACCAAAAGTGCGACAAAGTTTCACGAAACAGTTTGCGGAGGACAATACATTGGCGTACAATTCCCACTCTGAAGGTGATTATTATTTTCAAAAGTATGATGAAAGTCGTTGGAGTGTCACTGCTTTCCTATCTTGACATTTTTTAATATGGCTTCTAAATTTAAGAGATGCTATATGTCATTTTACACTTCAAACACTACAGTATATATTTTTTGATTTGCAATAATGGGTGTATTTGACAAAAAGACATTATCAAAAATATGGGACTTATATAAACCATCTCACTTTGCTTGCTTTGCATTTCAGAATTGGATCTTCACCAAAAGCAGTTGTTACGTAATATCGGAAAAACATTCTTCCGTAGCACCGTTACAGTGCGACAAATCGGTCAGCTTTCAACGAAATGGACAATCAGTATTTTAATCGAGTATATACTTCTAGTTACTCATTTGGAAGGTGACTAATTTAAGTTCTATTATAAATTGTTATGATTTGCAGGGAGACAAATCGGAATCGTGCCCTTTTCATGGATTCAAATCAGTTCATTGCTCAACTTGGCCAAAGTGGCACTCGAATATGGGGAGAATCGAGGTTTATTCATTTCTTTAATTTCCATAATATTATCAGTGGAAAGGTATAAGTGCAATAACTATACAAACAAAACATATCATAAATTTCATAAAATCTTATGAAGGAAAATCGCAGAATCTTATGTACCATCACTACAGATATCATAACAGAAGTATAAATCGACCGATAAAATTGAAAATTGTTTACGAGCATCTGAAAGAAAATGGTGATGTACGACTGGCAGATTCGGCACCGAAAAATGATTTAAAACACGGTGAAATTGATATCAAAGCACTGCAACAGAAGCGACAGCATGCAGAATTGACTAGGTTGTTTTTGTATATCTTATCACGACTATTGTTGTCTGTGGCGATAATATCTGAAGTTGATCTCGAAGGCTTTGAAAAATATGCATGTGTTATTCTTGCACATATTCTACAACTTTCTTACCAACTTTCTCAACCCTATTAACCTAATTATTTCCTTTATCAATGGAATAACTTGTTCACTTTGCTGACTTCACCAACTCCCAATAGTAAGTTTACTTAATATTGAAAATGACAAAGGTTATTTATTTCACCTGATGAAAATTCATTCATCCTTGCTTCGTAACCATTGTTTTGAAGGTGCTAATATCCCTAATTTGAGAAATCGAATTGAAGAGGAGATTCGCGAGAATCATCCTTTTTTCGATCGCCCACTCTTTCTCGTCGATCGGGATTCACGTCTTAGGCATATCTGTCAAGAAATAGTTTATGCCAAATATATACCTGACAAAATCGACTCAGTTACTGGAAAACAAATACAACAGCGTTACAAACAACTACAGTTAGTTCCCTCATACATTTCAATCTCGATCGTCAGTTGTTTAGCTTTCTTCTGTGTTTTATCTTTAGAATATAACTGAATAATCTATGAATGGACAGAAATTCACAGTAGTAGTAGTTTGCCAATGACTCGAAGACCTATGTTAGCTTATGAATGCCCAGTATGGTCATCCCGTTTGTTTCAATTTCCCGAGGAAATATTTTATGTTTTGATTTATGAAGTAACGCTGATTAAATTGTAATCCCATTCATTCGGGAAAATATGATTAATGTGGATACGCCAAAAATTAGTTTGCAGTGAGCTGATCGGTTTACTGACATATCTTGACTGGGCAATGGTATTTTTTACGGCACTGTCGTGTTATTCGATGCTATTCGAAAGTCCATGGCCGACTACGGGCGAGAATATGATCTTTAACAATCCCTATTTACAGGTAGTTGCAATGATTATATAGCTTGAATTAGAATTGAAACTGCTAAATCATGTTGTTTTACAGCATGTTTTTAGATCTGTGAGTATATGTTCGTCATATCAATGACTTTTGAACTTGCTGTCAAAGTGCTTGCAAATGGGTTCATTTTTACGCCAAATGCTGTAGTGCGAGACGTCGGTGGCGTGATGACTCTTTTCATTTACATTGTGCGTTCCTTCCAATAATTTTATTTCTTGTCATCATTTTACTTCACACAGTTTTTGTTATTCAGTGTATCTGAAACCACCTGATTTTTCTAATCATTATAGATGAGATATGACCTCTTTACAGCGATGGGCCTTACTTTAAAATTATTTTGACTATTGGCATGACCTTCGAGTTGCAGAGATTAAATTGAATCTTGAGAGAAAAATTATTTTCTCTTATTTCGCCTAATTAATATCAGGTAATGTGTAAGTTCCGAAGCGATAATTATAATACGAACAAAAAAAAAAGAAAAACTGGACACGTGATTTTCACATTTTCTTCGATGTTTTTTCTCGGTTTTTTAAAGCGAAACATTGATAATGAAAGTATCAGGAAGGTTGATTAGTATGCAACAATATCTGAGTGTTGTGGTGCTACGATTTTTTCGTCGGCTACTTTTTGATTCTAAACTACACGGCTGCGATTTTATAACAAGGTATCGTGCTTTTGCACGATACCTTGATATCACACTTTCACGATATCACACTTGATATCACTTTCTGTAATTCTCATCATCGGTTCAGAGCTAACTGAAGCTCTCCTTCTACAACCCCATGATGTACGTACTATTATTTGGATCACAAATCGATCAGATTACAATGCAATCATTTCAGCGATATATTATGGAATAGTGAATAGGATAAATTATATGCCAAAGAAAGAAGGGAAATGATTATTTTGAGATTTGAAAGGTCGTGCTTTATCCGAAACATATTGATTTGTATGCGTATCAATTACGATGGTAGAGAGCAGTGTCACAAGTCTCAATAGTTGCAAGGACATTTTAGACGAGTGTTATCTACTTGGTTTGGATGCCACGTTATGTGGAAATCAATTCATTAGCACAAATGATGATGATCTTCCGAGCCATGCGACCATTGCGCATTTACACTCTTGTACCGCACATTAGACGTGTTGTGGTTGAGCTATGCAAAGGATTCAAAGAGATTCTCTTGGTACTTTCTCCGATATTCCTCTGTTAAACACATTCTATCTCATTGAATTGCCAAGGCGAAGTATTTGCAGATGATTAGGATTGCGCATTTTAGGTTACTACTTTGCTTATTTTGCTCATGTTCATATTCGCCAGTTTCGGTGTACAAATCGCTGGTGGCAAGTTAGCTGCATGTAATGATCCAACGATCACTGAAAGGGTTCGTTTCAGGGTGCTTCAATAAAAACATCCTACCGGTGGAATAATTATGATGGAATCTGATTGCAGGAAAAATGTTACGGTATATTTGAACAAAAAGTTTTCGTTACACGAATGGAAGTGTATGGGAAGAATGACAATGAATTGCATCCAAAAATCTGGGTACCTCGAGTTTGGTAATATTAAATAGCTTTATTTATTGCTGTATTTCTAACCTCAAATTTATTTGGAAATCAAAAATGTTACAGGACAAATCCGCGAAATTTTAATTTTGATCATATCGGCAATGCCATGCTGGCACTTTTTGAGACTCTATCCTACAAAGGATGGAACGTTATCCGTGATATATTGTGGATGAGACAAGGCCCTGTAAGTATCACATATTTTATGCATTATTGTGAAGCTTGAAGCTGTGCTACATTATCATACTTTCATTCGTGTTTCAGTGGGCAGTGGTCTTTATTCATATATATGTGTTCACTGGTTGCATGATCGGACTTACACTCTTTGTTGGCGTTGTCATTGCCAACTACACTGAAAATAGGGTGAATCTTATGATTCTTGTTTTCAACTCTTCTCAGATTTATCTGGGAATATTTCAGTTGTAGCATTTCTTTCTGGTTAAGCTTTAATAAACCACGTAACCTAGCTTTAATTGGCCAAGAAGCAATTTTTTCTTACTTGTTTGAGTCCTTCAGGATATGAGATGCTTTGTTTCAGCATTACTTTACTGCTAGTCTTCCTACATCGTAATGATATATGCAGAGTGGATGTAATAGGACATCTTGTTGAAGAGAGTATCCATGATATGTTTTATTAAAAAGATTGTTGAAGGGTACAGCACTGCTTACGGTAGACCAGCGACGTTGGCATGACCTAAAAGCACGTCTGAAAATGGCACAACCTCTACATGTTCCACCGAAACCAGCGGAGTCTGCTAAACTCCGCATTAGACTATATGAAATCACACTGAGCAGATGGTTCAAACAGGTATTTCTTTACATAAATTTGTAGGTGATGAACCGGAACAGATCTTCCCTTTTGTAATACATTCCGTTTTTCTGGACCCTTTTGAGATTAAGCAGGCATTATATTATCTCAAAATTTCTCGTTCTATTCATATTTTCCAGGTATTCGCCATACTGGTAGTGATTAATTCAGTGACCTTATTCATCCCATGGAATGTTGAGGAAGAGAAAAATAGCTACAAGGCTCTCATCTTCATGACAGGTGTATCGGCTATTGCTAATATCCTTTTCACCGTTGAGGTTATTTTTCATTTTTCTTTTCCTTTTCCCAAATATGTCAACAGAATCATTTTGTAGGTCATTTTGTTACTTGTTTTAACTTAAAAATAAGCTCTTCAGTTTCGGAACCTTTTAATTTCCCAGTAATTTATTTGTAGTGTTTCAAAATCCTGCTTAATATTTAATTGGATTATAACAAAGAAAATAGTTAAAGAGGGAAGAAACCACTTAGCATACATGTTGTTGGTGGGAATCAGAAAATGTGAACACTGATACCATAGCATTTAATGAATTAAATAAAGTGGTTTTCTTCAGTTTGGTTTTCATCTCTTTACTGGATGTCTTAATTCTCCTCATCAACTGCAGTGAATTGAAGTTGTTTTCTCATCTTCAGATGAAACAGTTTCAGATTCTGTTGAAGATGATTGCGTTCACAGTACGTGGCTTCTGGCAATCCAGACGAAATCGAGTTGATCTACTGATCACAATACTTGGGCTCGTTTGGATTTTCACTCACTTCATCATGGCCTTACCTGCAAGCGCTGTTGGCGGACCTACACAGCTAAAGGAATTTACATATACTTTTGGATATTTGGTGGTTATTTTGAGGTTCTTCACCATTGCCGGTTAGAATGAATCATTCTCCTTCTTATTGCTTTTTAGCTTATTCACAATATTTCTTTTCGTTCAATGCGTAAGGTGAAAAAACTCATAACATATTTTTGAATCACTTTTCATTTCAGGTCGTAAGACGACTTTGAAAATGTTGATGTTAACAGTAGTGATGAGTATGGTGCGAAGTATGTTTATCATCACAGCAATGTTCCTTCTAGTACTATTCTACGCTTATACGGGTGTTATACTTTTTGGTATGGTTAAGTATGGGCAAGCCGTTTCGAAGTTCGTTGCTCATTTCTTATTCTTTTTAGTTTTCGATTTATTCACTCCTATATATATATATGTATATATATATATATATATATATATATATATATAATAATAATA